AGATCCTTCTAAGACAAAAGAAATGCGAAAGGTTGCTTACTCCTGGTTCCTCGGTTGACTTCGCCTTTGGTGTCGTGGATCCTGCTTCTTTGGTGGTTGGAGTCGCTGCAATTGAACTTTCCTAGTTCATGGTCTACCGTTGGTAACGCGGTCACTCTACCTAAGGTTAGAAGCCTTACCTTTCGTGATCTTGTCCTTATCAGCCTTGGAATCACCTTTCTCGACGCCTTCTTCCGTGGTCTCATCAATACCTATCTCGGGAGTCGCTTAAGTAAATGAGTATTTCAACAAGTCCCTTAGTGAATAAAGGAAAAAAATGCAAGACCCATTCAAATTTGGGAACAAATATTCCTGATAGTATAATTAACGAATAATAAGGCTCACCCGTACTGGAAGCTTCAGCGGTTGTCGAATGTTGTTCTTCTGCAGTCGTCGCAGCTGATGTGACATTCGCAGCCTTAGTAGTTCCCATAGAGAGCACCAGATCTGGTTGATCAGTCACCTTGTCCATGGTGAGGACGAGATCGGGTTGCTCGGTGGTATTGCTGGATGCCTTTTCCATAGTGAGGATGAGATCGGGCTGCTCAGTAGTACTGCTGTGTTCCACAGTCGTCACAGTTTCCCCAGATCCTTCTTCACCCTCTGTTGTAGGCGGTGCCTTGGAAGTGCTCTTAGCCGACTTTCCTGATTCCTTTGTTGTCGCTGTCGTACCTTTGCTAGATTTCCTTGGGTGGCTTACCGTCAACACCTTCTCTGTCAATGTCAGGCTCAGCTTCGGTGACTAGTTCTGGTTCACTAGGGGTGGTTCTCTCGACGGGACCAATTTCTAGTCCAAGTTCGGTGGTCGGATGAGTCGTCCCAGCCCTGCCATCGTGGATGATCTCGAGACCGACGTTATCACCTTCAACGATAGGTTCAACAGTAGCTGTGACTTCTGAAGCACCATCAGCTGGCTCCTCGGTCGTGCCTGCACTTCCTTCAGTTCGAGATTTGAAACTGCCAGATTCTCCATGTTCCTCTACCTTTTTAATGATTGTTTGTGAGGACGGACTGACAATCTCTTCCTTCCTTGAAGCATCAGTAGCTGTCGACACGGTGATGACTAAGTTTCCTTTAGTAGTTCCCTTGCCAATCACCGAATCGCTAGGTTCTTCTCCGGAACCCTCAAGATCGACACCGATCTTTGGTGGAGAAGGTGTTTTTGCGGCTGAATGGCCTCCAGTAGGTCTGAAGGAGATCTCCAAGCCTTGTTCGTCCTTTGTTGGTGTCATCGGACTCTTGTCCTTTTCGTTCGTGGCAACGTCTACACTAACTCCAGCTGGAGTGGACTCAGAAGGACTGAGAGTCGTTGCAGAAGGTGAGAAGAGTTTTGTACCCGAAGATCCAGAATCAGATTTGGACTTCGCTTCAGAGTCAGGCCCATGGGTCGACGCGGATGCTGGGACAATGGTAACTCCAGAAGCAGAAGCAGAACCAGTTCCAGACGTTGTGACGATAGTGGCACCAGGCGCAGAGGTAGCGCCCTTATCAGAAGCCGCAGGAGAGCTTGTAGCTCCAGATGTTGGTGTAGAACTTGTTCCAGATTTGGTACCACCTTTGCCGATTTTCTTGTCTTGTTCCTCTTGATTAACCTCTTCGCCACTGATAGCTATCCGGGTTACAGATTCTGTACTTGTGGCTGTTGTTCCGATAAGATCCTCATCTTCATGTCCTGTCAGCTCTTTTTCTTCAGTCTTTGCAGTGGTTTGTTCAGTTTCGGCACTCTTTGCTGATTCCCTGTTCTGTTTGATAACAGCAGTTGCTGTTTCAGTACCGGCCTCCGTCGGTTCTTCTCCAGATCCAGACTCCTCGGTCATCGATAGGGTAGTTGAAGTGCCCTTCCTTCGAGCTCCGTCTTCGATCACATCGGCACCACTGCCATCGATTTCCACCTCCAAGCTTCCATTCTTCGATCGTACCTTAATAGGAAACTATTAGGGAACCTCTTACCACCTCCAATTTGCTTCTTTCGAGAATGGCTTGGCAAAGTTGTTGTATAAAGGTGGGTTAGAGAGTGAGAGCTACATAGGGGAGCCACATTACTTCGCCACGGCAAGCGAAAGCCCATGCTATCCTTCTTTCGTCTAACATAAGCCGTAATCAAGGAAGCACGGTCAACCGTGGCGTTGTTCATTACAGTTGTAATCCCCAAAAAGTTTTATAGGTGGAGCGGGGGAAGAGGGGGGCGCGGCTGTCACATGAAGGTGCAGTGCTTCATGGCTGGAATGGCTCTGGATTGGGTCTCATTTGGATAAATTTTCATTTTCCCGGGGGCGGTCCGAAATTGAGCTTCTCCCCCAGTTCGAAAAAATACGACCCCTTTGGTCTGACGCGGCCAGGAGGACAGTTAACTTCGGAGGCAAGTGAGGCGGGACCGATGCTTTTCGTAGTGGAAGTATGTAGGTACATTGATTCCATGAGCCCGATTACGAGAGTTTTCATCAAATAGAGGCATCTAGTGGTTTTAAGCGTACCGGCGTCGGAGGGCTCGAACCATGGACTGGTATTTCAGTGATTGGAATAGAAGTGGTAAAAGTGGATGCTCCACCGAGGGTCGAGATCACTCCCGGTAATGTGACAGTGATAACAGGCTCAGCGGTAGTGGATTCGAATGAAATGCTGGCCGGCAATGGGAATGTTTCCAAGGTAGCTTCTGAAAGAGCCATTTCAGAACCCCGTCGTTCACTTGAAAGCAGTGGCAGTACTCACTTTTAGCGGCACTGTCGCCGGAGATTTCCAGTCCAACTTCACCTTCCTTCGCTTTTGTGTCGAAAATATCGCTCTTAACTTTGTTCTTGACGACGAGTATTTCGCCTCCGGAGAAGTTGCGAACCTTAAAAATCGTAGGATTACTGTAAGCTGTTGGATAATAGCTCAAAATAACTTATGGACCTCAGAAAAATCATATGCCTTTTACTCGACAATTACCTCATGAATGCTCTGAGAAATGGTCTCGCCAGTGGTCGATTCGTTCATAGACGCAGCCAAGAATGTTTCGCCTTCCTTCCCGAGACCGATTAGTTTCATTCCACCACCTGGTCCTGCAGCGATTTCGAGACCTGAAGGGAAGATATGTGTGTTAAGGAGTACCGTCACCTCGAGAGGAATTACCTATGCAGTCGGTGCTGAGACTTTCGGGTGTGCAACAATGGTAGCTGCCAATGGTGTTCACACACCACGTGTACTTTGCCTTGGGGCAAGGATCGTCAGTCATGCACTCGTCGATATCTGAATAGAGGCAATGAGCGTCTCAGAAGTCGCGATTTATTTGTGAAGAATTCAAAGGGCCGAAATGGCTCACCTTCACATCCAAAAAGTGGATTGCCTCCGAATCCTTTGGTACAACGACAAATACCGTCGATGCATTCGGAATTTGCCGGGCAATATGAAGTGCACATTAATTCTGGAATCATATCCCTTTAGACCTTTCAAAACAGACAGAATTGCTAACGACTTACCGTTCTTTCGATTCACATTCACAGACGGAAAAAGTCCTTCGCCTTTAAGGAATCCATGGCGCGTGATGATTGACTGACCGCCGGACTCGTTACGCCACGAGCCCTTTGATTCATGGAATCAGAATGTCGCCATGTGTAGAGTTGTACTCCAATAAGACTTCACCGTCGTGAGTTTTGAATACGTGCATGCCCTAAAGCAATACCTGCATGTCCTACAACAGTATCCCTAGTAGACATAAGGTCAAACGGCTTCATAAAAAAGAAGAGTTTGGTTGATAGAGAGGGTCTTACAGATCCTAACGCATGGGGTTACGTTGCTGGAGCCAGTATTACCCTTGGTCTAGCCAAGTGCCTTGAGAATTCAAGGTTCTTACCGGTCATCCCTGCGGGACACGCAGCTTGTTAAAGCAGTGTCTAACACACCTCATGAACAAATGCGGAGGATGCGTATAGCACGGATGTCGCTCAGTCTGCCCAAACGCAATCCAGGAACACATGATATTCAAACTCAAGAAGCTTTCGGCCTTATCAATCCCTTTTTGGGATGCGCCAGTAGTTTTCTAGAGTAGTTCCAAACACCAACAGATTGTAAATATGATTGATTACGAATAAGAGGGTGGTTCGTTTTGCCTCTTACTCAGACGGAACCACTGCTTTTCATCAAGTGTTTTTTTACTAGGTCACGGCGCGACGATGAGCACCTCTGCTGCGTGCCGCGCGCGGTAAACTTGCACGGTACTTGATTAAAGTGACACATTCGACTTTCCTAGGCCCAGCTCCAACCTTAATTGAAACCCTGGGACGTAACTTAAAAATGGATTCACAATATTGACGACTTTCAACTTGAAAATACTGAGTCTGTCCTGCCTGACATCTTACCTCATGAATTCTAAGACATGGAGTTAATTTACATATGCGGTACAGTTCAGATCATTATCTCCGCGACAGCCGGCGTAATGCCACGGCTGTAACGGCGATGAGTGAGTGATTAGTATGTCTAAACGTCACTGACGGTTTTCGCGAAATGAAGATTGATGAATCAGGGCACTAGAATACGGCGTATGATATCTAGCATACCGGTGTTTAATTCAACCGTCTACATCGAACAACAAGAAAATGAATTCTTCGTTCCAGATTATGTGCAGCAGCTTGCGGATGCGCACGCCTCGAGTTCTCCTCAGAAATGTTGATGTAATTGAAAGTGTGCCACATACGCTCAACAATTAGGGTGAGTTACATTTTCGATGCCAAGTTTTATTCCGTGAGCTAGGTACTGCTTGGGACTATAAACTTAACCTTTAGAATGCTATAATGGAATGCTACAGCGAAGTGGCAGCTTCTTGAAAATTAAGCCCAACGTTTTTATAGGAATGTTTATGTTCATTTTTTTTCCATTTCGTTTTTTATCCAGCAAAGCTTCAGCTTCCAAAAGCTTTTCCAACCTTCCCCTTGAGGACTGCTGTCACGTAATCTCAGCATTCACTCAATGTGGGATCTCAACAGAATGTGTTGGCGTGAAAAGTGGGCTAATCCAATTTCGTTCATCGGGCAGCTCCCAAAATAACGAACGCGATTAAGCGGCGAAATCTGTCGAAGAACTCCCGTGTTTAGAAATCGATCCATATCGGTAATCAATTAGCCGAAATGGCTGGATGGCTTACCGTATTTTGACACATTTGATTTTCTCCGCAGTTATGAAGGTTCATTTCACATTCGTTGATATCAGCGCATTTTTCCAATGGAAGACCCTGAATGGAGAAATTTGTTTCTCAAAATTGTTTTCTGGATTACTAGAGTAAAAATGAATCTGAAATGGGTCCAGATACTCACTTTCGGCGCAAAACCCTCGGTACAGTTATCAGGAAATGTTCCTGGTAGATTGACGCAAACGGAATTCTGTGGGCAGGTGTACTTGCTCATGGAACACTCATCAATGTCTGAAATGTGGTTGGTCTTGGATGGAAATTGTTGTCAATGAGTACGGTAGTGAAAAGTAAAACTTCGAGAACTGTCATTT